CCAAAACTAAAAACGAAGAAGCTAGGTAATTTCAAAGTTGATATTATATAGTGATGCGTAATATAATGCTCAATAATAAGCTTTCTGGGCTTTTATAATATAGGCATACATAGGCTTAACGCGTTTAACACTTAAGAATCGTATATAGGTACTGCTAGCCTTCAAAAATCTAATCCTCTGCGCAGATGTGGTGACGTGTTGTCGTTTGGCCTGCAGTACCACGGCAATACGATACAGCAACTTGAATATATTATTTTTATATATATATTTTTTGTGGTACATATAATAACATATTAATATATTATAATATATGATGAGCGGCCAGAAGGGAGTTCCGAAGGTGTTCTTTAACAATACTCACGTTAATAATACAGGAGCTATAGAGTAACCTGGGGTATTATGGCGCATGGGGCAAAATGAACTATTGTGTATAAGTAATTTAACAATTGCTATCTGGTCAAACATTTTTGTTATTATGATCACGTTATCCAAACGTGATAAAACATTTTTTTCAGCAATTGATGATGTTTTGGCGGCAATATGAGGTAAAATATTAATTGTATTCGTCTGATGTAATATTTGAGTAGTATAGAAGTAGTAACGTGTACTATATAACGACACGTTAGATGTTGCTTTTATATATATTCGTTTAGTACAAATAGGGTGGGATGAACCCCTACCACCGGACATTCGTGACGAATGGGTCGCTTTCGTGTCGGACTTGCCGTCGTTAAAACACATTAAAGTACCGCGTTATATTAATTCGAGCCAAAATGCCCCGTGTTACCTGCTAGGTTTCTGCGACCCGTCACTGCACGGGTACGCCGCAGTTGCGTACGTGCGAATGAGAGACGCTCCGGCGCACCAATCAGTTTTTCTAATCGGTACAAAAACAAAGTTAGCGCCACTAAAATCATTAACTGTTCCGCGGTTGGAATTAAATGCCGCGTTATTGTTGGCCCGGTGGTTAGGGCGTCTTCGCCGCGGATTTTGGAGTCGCAGCTCAATATAGTTGGAGTGCACGCTTGGTCGGATTCTATGATTGTTCTTTCATGGTTAACCGTACCCCACGAATCGGTAAAAGTGTATATATCCAATCGCGTACACCGAATTCAATCACTGTTGCCGGGTTGTGAATGGCGTTACGTCGAGTCGCTCGTCAATCCCGCCGACTGTGCATCACGCGGAGTAATGCCCTCTGCCTTGGCACAACTTGATTTATATTGGCGGGGACCGCCCGTTGTTTACACGGACCCTGCTGAGTGGGGCGCCCGTCCGTCTTCGTTACCACTAAGCGATTTACCCGAGGTCCGGCCCGTTTCGTGTACTGCTCGCGTGGAGGAGGTGCCACGCGAATGGTTTGACAGGTTTTCGTCCTACGACCGCATGTTACGAGTGGTGGCTAGAGTCTATCGTTTTATTGATGCGCATGTCGCAAAAAAGGGACCTGCGCGGTGACCTTTTTGAAAAAAGTTGAACTTGACCGGGCCACTCGGGCTTTGGTCATCGAGTCCCAACGCGTACACTTCACTGCGTTGCGCCGGGAGCTGTCAAGTGGTCGACCGGTTTCGTCTCGACCGTTGGCGCGGTTAGCCCCGTTTATTGATGCCGATGGTGTTTTGCGCGTAGGCGGTCGGTTGCGCCATTCGCTGCTGAAATACGATTGTAAGCACCCGATGCTATTGGCAAAAGGGTCAGTCCTTGCAGTACTGTTGTGTCGCCGGTGGCACTTGTTGACGGGCCATGCGGGCCCGCGCGTGCTGGCCGCACTTATCACGCGACAGTTTTGGATCGTCTCATTGCGGTCGGTGTTGCATCACGTAGTGACGTCGTGCGCGCGATGTATTAGGTTTGACGCAAAACCGCCGACACCTTTTATGGCTGACCTGCCGGCCACGCGCGTGCGATCCCAACGGCCGTTCATGTGTGTAGGCGTTGATTACGCGGGGCCACTACAAATGCGCGAACATCGACTCCGAAAATCCCGTGAGTACAAAATATACATCGCGGTATTCGTCTGTTTCACCGTAAAGGCTGTGCATTTGGAAGTTGTATCTGACCTGTCCTGCACAGACGCGTTCTTGGCCGCGTTCGACCGCTTCGTCGCCCGTCGTGGTCTCCCAAGTGATATCTACTCAGATTGTGGGACGAATTTCGTGGGGGCGGACAAGCAGTTGCGGTCATTAATTCATAGCCCCGAAGGTCAAGCCGCTGTCGGTAACGCGCGTGCGCTCTGTACTTGGCATATTTTAACCCACCGAGCGCGCCCCACTATTCGGTGGCTTGTGGGAGGCGGCCCTACGGTCAACGAAACGACTATTAATTCGGGTAGTTGGGAATCACATCTTTACATACGAAGAGTTTACAACAATCTTATGCCGTGTAGAAGCCGTTCTTAATTCTCGGCCGTTGACACCTGCGTCGACTGACCCCCATGACCTCGAGTGTCTAACGCCGGGGCATTTTCTAATAGGGCAACCGCTACTAGCAGTACCCCCTCGGTCAGGCCCTGTCACGAGTCGCACGTTGACCAATCGTTGGAAACTCATGGACCAGTGTCACCAGGCCTTTTGGCGGCGATGGTCCACCGAGTATTTGACCACCCTCCAGGAGCGCTCCAAGTGGACCACAGCTAGGTAGCCCTCCCGTTAAAGTTGATGACATGGTAGTCGTTGTCGATAACCAGAGCCCCCCCCTTGTCATGGCGCATGGGCCGAGTCATAGAGTTGTTGCCAGGATCTGACGGGCAGAGGTACGCGTCGCACAGTGGTCGAAAAACTAAAAAAGGTGGCCAAAAATGAATAACTGAAACTATGATATTTATAAATATACAATTATCATTTAAATACATTTTTATTGATATAAAATATATTACAATTTATTTTAATGATTATTTTTTTTCTGAAATGTATTCTGGTTCTTCATCACTGCAATAATTAATATCTAGCAAAAGATCTTCGACTTCTGGGAGCAGTTTTTTTATATTATGTTTATCAACCATGTGTAGTACTATTTGTGAATATACACTCATGAATATTTCCACGTGTAATTTTATTTAATAAAGCCATGGTTAAAAATAAATATATTATTTCACTATAAAGAAAGATAATACCAAAATGGTATACACGCAATTTGAATCACTGGTTAAAAAAAATAGCGCAAATATGCGCAGCTAATTTTTATTTAGTATTGTTCACTGGACTTTTCCCAACGAACTGATATAATTTTCGTCGTGTAACTCGATGAATAAACATACTAAATATCTACGTTTTTAATGACATATAAGTTTAATTTAGTTTTATGAATAATATTTTATCAAATATATTATGGTACACACGCTCACGTACCTTTATCTATCATTATATATATACATATATATATCTCATATCACATTTTATAAGTACCGACGATAATCACTCAATTTAATACCATAATTAACAGAGAACTTATCTTAATTATATTTCGACTATTTACAATACATCGATGTTTTATCAACATTATATTTATGCTATATATAGCATTTTATGTACTTAAATTAGTGTTTTGTCAAAAAAAAAAATATTTTTAAATACAATAGGACTTGTACAAACATTTTATTTTTAGAAAATTAAAGTTTTCTAATATTTAAAATAATGATTTTTGGCCACCTATTTTAGTTTTTTGACCACTGTGCGTCGTCCGTTTGCTGACTAGCGCGGGCACTTTGACACGACCAGTGGTAAAAATAGTACTGTTACCCACTGCCCACTGTGCAAAATGCAGTACCAAGAACATCCCATGGATATGTGTTGAGGATATTCGATGTTATTAACTAATGCATATTGATGTTATAATGATGTTCATGGGATTGCTAATGCCAGGTTGAGCGACTTTTTAAAAAGTAATTTATAAGAAGTTAGGTTTCGACGTTTATACGACTGCATTATGCGATATCCTAGGGATGTCTAATATAACTTCTATAATATGTGTTTTTCTAAACATTTATATCATGTTCAATTTGAACAAATATAAGACATAATTTTGCGATATCCGTAGGATGTCTAATATAACTTCTATAATATGTGTATTTTTAGACATCTATACCATGTTCAATTTGAACAACCATAAGACATAATTTTACCTGTTATATTACATCTCTGAGAAGTTAGTTCAATAACATAGCAAGAATGTTTTTAATGTTAGAGGAATATACACTGCCATAGCCAGGGGGGACTTTGGGGGAAAGTCCCCCCTTTCAAATTTTTATGAACATTGGGATCATAAAGTAACTTATATACTACTATATAAACAAAAGAAATCCATCAACTGGTCATAACTTTTATTAGAATAATAATTAATATGAAAATTAAAATAATGGTTAAAAACATATAATAAATGATAACATTTAATAATAATAGATTACTTTATTAAATCTATGTATATAATAAAAAAAATTATAATATTATTATATTAGCAGAATAATGTACTATTATTATAGGTATTGTACAATTCAATAAAAAAAAAAAAACATCTTCACTTGAAATTATAATTAATATACATGATAATATTTTTAAAAAAAAACTGCTTTACCTTATATGAATAATTATAAAAAAAAATTATAATATTATTATATTTGTAGAATAATGTACTATTATAGGTATTGTACAATTCAATAAAAAAAAAAAAAACATCTTCACTTGTAATTATAATAAATGTATAATAATATAAAAAAATTATAATATATTAAAATATTTATGTATATTAATATAAGTACATGATAATATTTAAAAAAAAAACTGCTTTACCTTATATGTATAATAATAAAAAAAATTATAACAATAACAATAAATCTTATAATGAGAGTATAATGGGTCTGAAACATTTCACCATAGAATACCTATATTGAAAGAAAAGACAAATGATACATTTTCCATTAAGCTAGTAAAATAAAAAATAATATTAGGTAGATATATTATGAAATATTTAATTTGAATATTACATTGATGATTGATAAAAAAAAATTATAATATATTATGACTTAAAGACATAACAACTGCCTTATTAGTTGATAAAGGAACAAAAAAACATTTATACTTAATATCATTAATGGTTATGCGTTTCAAGTTAGACTGGGATGTAATATCAACAATGACAGAGCCAATTATAAATGATTCTAGTGGAACTTCAAAAAAATTTGAGTATTTATTAAATATACACACATTTAAAAAAATGTTTTCTTTTTGATCCTTATATATATGCCTAACTGATGCCACTTCATTGGTAATTAACATAATATAATTATTTTTTGGAACCTTGGACGAAATAATATAATTTGCACCAGTTAAAGTTATGGTTTGATAAAAAATGAATTCCTGATTTTTATTAAAAATATGGTTATCCCCATCACATTCATTACTTAATTTATATTTTTCAATATCTATAGTGTTTTCGTGATCACTATACATAATATTTATTTTTTCTAATATTCTATTGGCAGCTTCTTGTAAAGGAAAACGAGAATGTGAAATGCTTTTTTTTAAAAGTCCTAAGTAGTTTTCATATTTGAAAGCACTGAAATTGTCCAGGCACCCATGTATCTTAGCATAATATGGGAGATGAATTAAACTATGAATATTATGCGTCATAAAATGTGAACCATAATTAGTTTTAAATTCTTTCACAAACTCAACTATTAAATTATAAGCAATTTCATTTTTAGTTGAATATAGAGCTGGGGTTGCCAAAATTTTTATAGCGCAGTGTAATTTAATAAAATGAAAATAAAACTGTTTTTTAAGTCTTCCTTTTAATATAATTGGACCAGTGAACAGCAAAAAAGTTCTGAATTCATTCGCTTTCCAATATTCAATATCGTTCAACGATCTCGGTAACCTGATAAATTCAGATGGGAAAAAATCTCTTAAATTATTTAACTCTACGTTAGCAGCATCACATTTCTCTAAGGGTATTCTTGTCGATTGTTTACCTCTCACCCAAAACTTTAAAAGGCGTTTCATTGCCCCCAAGCAAACTGCATGCATATAATCAATTGGTACGGATTCAATCATATCAATCGGCAAACGTTCCAAAGGACTATTACCTTTATGGTACTCGTCATCACTCCTAGCTCTAAAACTTTCGTTAGTACGCAATGCAGCATTCACTCCCAAAAATGCCATTCTATGTTCTTTATATTCACCTTCCTCTAAACATGTATTACATCCTACACGAGAATTATGTCCTTTCACATTAAGCAAAAACGCCTTGGCGGGAGAATCACAAATGAATTGTTTAATACTTATACGTAATACCTTATCATCAACATTAATTCCATCTTTTACCAATTCTATAGCTTCATTTATAAACAAATTCAAAAAGTCATCTATAGACTCTGGTTTTTTAAGTGTACTAAAATATAAGCCAATAGCAAAAACTAATTTAGATAGAAAAGGTACATTTATAATTGAACAAAGTATTGGCCAAAATTGTTGTTTAGAACTGTGTGCTAATGGCAACCCATCAATATTAAAACTTAAACTTATTTCATTAACATTTCTTAAGCAATTAATATTAAACTTTAATACAATCAAAAGCATTTTTTTTAAACCTAAATGAATATAAGTTCCAGGGTTCATACAAATTATATCATGTGACCTTGGAGTATGCATCAAAGTCCTAACATCTTTTGGCAAATCCAATCCTTCAGATCGTAAAATCTTTAATAAACTATTTACACTATTTTTTTTTACATTGTAAGCTAGAACCCACTGTTGGAGCTTATCTTTAATACTAGAACTATCATCATTATTAGAATTGACTTGGGGATTTAATGTATCAGCTGTATTTATTTTGTATCTTAAATCATCAAGTAATAAGTTAATTTGTTTATTATTACAAAAATCCATTTTAGGTATAAGCTGTTGTGTATTATTATTACAGTTTTCAGTTAGTTCGACCACAGTTGTTTCTATTATTTTATCCATGTTAGCTGAATTTAAACAGTTATCAGATGAAATACTACATACCTCTTCTACTTGGGATACTTTTTTTGGTTGTTTTGTACATAATTGAAGCCGTTTAAAATGTCGAATAGACATGTTTTCAATGGATTTTCGTTTTTGGCGTGGAATCTTTAATAACAAAAATATTATAAATAAGTAAACAAATATATTATATAGGTATAAAATTATAAAATATAAGGTTTATATCAACATTAAGATCATGAGAATTATAAATAATTATTAATATTTACTAGAAAATATTTTTCCATACATATTATATTTCTATCAGTAGCTTTTTAATTTTACTATAATTATTAACTTTCTAGTAGTATAATATGTCATAATAATATACACAACCTGTACTAGTTTCTTTTTTATGACGCTGGGAACCATGCCTGAACCAATCTTTTACATGAATTTCAAATATATTTTCATCATTCTGATAAAGCTCATTTGAAATTTCTAAAAAAAAAAAATACATAAGCTAATGTAGTAATGTAATAAAATAAATATTGACTAGGTATAGCATACGTTTCATGACTTTTATAATTTGATGGTCGACGAGTCGATAGTTGTTTTTTTGTCCTGTCCATGAACAAAGTGTAGCCAATTTATTGGAAAATAATTTCTGTAGTACTCTCTTGATAAAATGTTTTGTGTCAGAGCCGCCAATAGATTTAATTAAATTTATCTGAAATAAAATAGGTAAATAATAAATATTTAATTTACTTATAAGTTATATTATATGCTATAAAATAATTATTGATTTTACCAATTTAGTCAAGTTTTCATCATCATTTTTTAAAGATTCATTAAAAGATTTAAGAGACTCTAAATCGTTCAAAGGAAATAAGTCTAAAAAATTTGAGTCTAATGTAGGTGGTTTCACATTTGCACTCGGATTACTTTTTATATAGTCTATAATAATATCTAACTTTCTATCCATTCTAGTGAAATACATGTTTGTTGTATGAAGTATTTCATCCATTTTATTTGTTTGAAAATCTGACTCAAACCTATTCAACTCTAAAACAAAAAAAGCAATTTTATTTAAATTTGGAATTTAAGTAAAATTGAAATATGATAACAATTCAATAATAATATACAAAAAATATTGCTAGAGAAATCTGCATATATATATACATTACCAGTCATATTTAATACACCAACATCGTTTGCTGTACTTGTACCTCCAACTAAAAAGAAAATTACAAAAAAAATATTATTATGAAAAATAAATTGTGATAAAAGTGGTGACAAAATTAAAATGTTTACCAGAAATGTGATGTTGTTCAAATGAATCTGCATTTCCAGAATATTGACCATCTTAAAAATAAATTTATAATTATTATAAATTAAGTTATCAAAATTAAATTGAAGTAGCTTAAGTGAATTAAGTTAATATCTATTTTGATTGAGTACCTAGTGTCATATCATTATAATGATCCCCAATAAACATTTCAGGAGTAATGCCATTAAGCAATGTGGAGCTTAAATTTGAAACAGCTAAAAATAGTTGTTGATTTACAACAGACAATTAGAATTTATTTAGTATATATTATAAATTAATTAATATTTGTATTAATAAATAATAGTGTTCTTACCAGGTAAATAGTTACTAGAGCCAATAATATTGGAACCAGTGTTCAAGCCAATTGATGTGTTTACAGCAGCTTTATGAATGTAAATAAATATTAATTAATTAATCAGTATATTAATATATTGTCATGTATTAAAGTAGGAAAATGCTTCATTTTACTTACAGGATATAATATTACAATCATTGTTTTTGTCTGGAATTAGTTGCTTTTTGAACTTTTTACTTGGTTCAGAAGTTGATTGTTTTCTCTTAATTTGTAAAGGTTCTTCCTCACTGCTGGAACCTAGAGAATTAAACTAATTTCAAAAACAATTAAATAAATTAAAGTATATTAAGTACTTACCTACCTAAAATACTAGGTAAAATAATAATAAATAGGAAGTTTGACAAACTATATCATTTAATAGCGGGTTTAATAGTAAGGACTTAAAGTAACTTACTTATATGGTACCTACTTCTAAAACTAATTTTATAAAATAATACAAACTGGCATTATAATCATCTTCTTGAACTTCATTGTTTTCAGTGTCTGAATCACTTTGAGACTCTGCACCTGATGATATAAACAATTCTATTTCTTTTGCAGCAGCTGCTTCATATGAATCTAAATATCGTGGGTATTATAAAACAAAAAAAATTAATTTACTATTTACAATTATAACTATAGGTAAGTGATATTTTAAATTATAATTTACCAAATTCTTCTATAAGTTTGACAGGATGGGTGGTCCATTTAGGCGAAGGCTTTCCTCCTTTCATGATTGACATTGCCGTAACACGACTAGCATTGGGCCATGAACAGTTTAAAATTCCATCTTTTGATTTTTTCAACCAACCGATAGGTATAATAGAATATGAATTTTCCTTCTCAAACAACCCTATTATATACTAAACAATTCATCCATTACATAGGTAATAATACAATAATATATAAATACGAACTAAATTACACTATATTATACACTATACACAGGCGTACTGATAAAAATATTATACCTAAACAATTCATGATATCAAACATTATTATATGTTAGGTACCTATTAAGTATTAAGTAAATAATGAAGGAATAAACTGTGAGCATAGAATTAATAAACAAGAATAGTGATTTTTTTTCAATAGAAATCCGGTTTGATACCTACCATGCCTAAGCTATTTGGCTACATTATATTATAGCATATTATGTAGGTACCTGCAGCTAAAGTAAGTATGTTTACCTTTGTTTCCTTGTTCATTTGATCCATGGTGAATGTGTGTTGAAATGTAGAAATCTGTGTTGTATATAGAAACAGTCCTCAGCTGTATGATTGTTCGTACACAGGAAGGATTAAACAAAAAATACACTTGTGTTGAATGTTGAAGTTTAAACGGCAGTAGACGATACTATACGTAACTATATACGTAACTTAAAAACAGTACAATGTACGAATCCACGAACTAATTCACTATACGGTACACAGTAGGTAACACCAGACTCCGTGGTAAGGTCGCACACGAGACAGACAAAACATCAATACACTATATACACACAACACGTGTTGAGGTGTAGGAGTGTAGAACACAGGTAACTCTTACATAAAGAAGCGAACTAAGTCAAGTCTTAAAAAACTTAAAAATCAATGCCAGCGGACAGACGAAACATCAATACACTATACACACAACACGTGTTGAGGTGTAGGAGTGTAGAACACAGGTAACTACATAAAGAAGCGAGCTAAGTCAAGTCAAAAAACTTAAAAATCTGCAATGCCAGCGGAAAGACTGTCAGTTGGTGGACACAAGCTGGTCAAACACTATATTAATAAATAGTAATAACTAATAATGAAAACTGTACATGACAGTTGCGTGTAAAGGTAAACGGCACTAAACGCGTATTAATATTCAGTGATGACAATCGACAATTATTATAATGTGATTGCCAGACACCAAGACTGCCGAATGCCGATGTTATTATTATTGCGTTTAATATCACTGCTACCCACGACCACCAATCACGAGCACTCATTGATTGCTATAACCGTTTCTGCGGGTTTTCCCAACAACTGTCGATAAAATATAATCGCAACCGACTATCCACATCTATTCGATGTTATTATGTTGATGTTTTCAACTATTAAAATATATAATAACTGATAATTAGTAAACTTACTAACCTCTTATGAACATCTTAGAAAGATGTTAGTGGGATATTATCAAATTACATTATAATAGACAAAACAAATATTAACTAATATATGATATCCATATACAACATCCCAAGTACAGTATCATTTAAACATCTGAAAGTTGTTAAACTGAATACCACTTAAAGATGTTTGCGGTGAACGTTAATTGTATATAATTTAGATGTTCTTTTTTAGAAGTTAAATTCAATAATTTATTAACATCCTTTTGATATCAAATAGTTGTTGAACAAAGATATACTATTTTAGGACATCCATATGATGTTTTGGTTAATCTATGGTACAGTGGGTGCTGATTAGAGGGGAACGGCCACACAGAACACTGTGCCCCTGCAGGGGATGGCTGGTCAAATACACCGTTAAGCCCCTTGCTGTTGTAAAAAAAAAAATATTTTTGTTCTGGTAGAATTAAATGGTTGCCCCCTTGTTGAATTTTACTGGTTCCAATCTGTATATTGTGTAATAATGTTTTGTTATATGTTAAAATTTATATTGATTTTATGTTTGTTAAAAAAAAAAATATATTTTTTGTAAAAAAAAACCTGAAGCCACTCCGCTCCAAGTTCCAGATCATCGACCTGCCCCCAACGTCTACCCAGTGTCCTGGCCAATTTCCAACCCAAGGTCCGGTTCTCTCGCCCTCTTCTGTGACGCACAGCTCACGGGGGGGCGTATGTTCGAACACGGACGGCCATACCACCGGTTCGCGCCCGCCGACTTGACCGCCAGCGTCGCCGTCGGCGCCGAACCTTCTAGAAGCCGCCTGGCACTTCGCCTAGCGCTTCGGTCGCACGACGGCGACACCGGCCCAGCTTCGGTGACTTGCACTTTTTGTCCATCTCTAACCGTTGGCACGACGCCTTTTCCGCGTCGCCGTGCCCCCAATTTTTATGTGTGCGTCGCTGTCACGTGTGCGTGCCCAAAACCTCGTGGTTTTCCGTTTCCACCGAGCTTGAACTTATTACCTACCTGTGTGCCGCCGTTCATAGTTGAGCGAGCCGCCACGATTGCTGTGTGCCGCCGCTAATATTAAAACTAGCCGCCGCCGCTATACGTCAATTGATGTGTGCCCCCCCCCCTGTGTGCCGCAGCGTCAATCATCTGCGTGCGGCCGCTCACTGTTCAACGTCGGGGCCGTAATCTCTCAGGAATGTATCTACCATCGACAGCGGATCAGGTCACTTATATATATTTTGTAATGTTGTAATTGTATTTTTTTATAGTATTTATATTGGGGCCCCCTTTTCATCTATTATTTACCTACTTTGTGTATTTGATAATATATTGTTTCCTTTAGGCGTCTCGTACGCCGCGAATGATATTTACAGTGTTATATTTCTTGTTCACCAGTATTATTCACCGGTGGGCCACCCTTCTGTATTTTTACCTACTTGGCTCTATACACTGCAAGTCGATATTGCCAACCGCCTAAGTCGTAGGAGCGTATCGGCGATTAAACAGATTCATTCCCTGATTCACTCTCAAATGCGCAAATTACAGGTTGCCACTAGTGAATCGACTCTTTCGTAGATACCGAATCAATTCATTCGATTCACCCAAGTGAATTACACACCACTATTTGCAATTCTGAGGCCCGGTTGCATAAAGAACAGTCTGTAAATTTGTTACCAGCTCTGTAATTTACCGGACCGTAAGGTTTTAATGATTGTGTAAACTAGAGCTATAAGTAGTGTTGCACAAATAGAAATATTAAATTATTGATAACCGTGGTTACCAAATAAATTAACAATGTTTTTTTTATCATTAAAATAATTTTACCATTCTCGCTCATTATAAATTTACGATTTTTTTTGGTTGACCTGCAGACAAATTTAACTACCTACAATAAAAATGGACGGATCGGAACAAGAATTCCAGGACTCAGGAGATTGAAGAAGATCAGATAATCGTTCAAGAAGTAGTCGATAAAATAATTGACTACATTGTTGAGAATGATGAACTGCAGTCAGACTACGGCGATGAGGAATCAACAACGACCTGCAATATATGGGGTCGGTGCTGTGGTATCAATTTCGGTTGTAACCACTCACGACGTACCCGTCACCGCTTCAGATCAATTCTTTCCTTCCGAAACCTTTTTTATTTTTTTCTTACAATTATAATATTTATTGCAACTTATTTTTTAATACCATTTCTGCGTTGACGCGTTGTTACAGTAATTAGTTTACGGTATTACGGTAATTATCAATAAAAATTGTACCTAAATCATTTGTAAATCATTGTAAAAATATATTTATTTTATTTTATATTTCCATTGAAGCTATTAGAAAATATTTTTAAAATAAATTAGTTAGATTATTTACATTGAAGCTATAAGAAAATATTTTTAAAATAAATTCTTCAGAATATTTTCTTGTTTATGACGAGAGAATATTTTGAAAATATAATCATCACCTAAATGCTGTGTGGGAACACATATCTAAAAATATTATACCATTTTCAGATAATAATCCCATTCGAATAAACATCTCGCTAAAACATACACCGGAATGTATCTCAAATATATTATAATATAGTTTACATACATTATATACTGAAAAAAAAACCACAATCATATTGATAAAAAGCTATCTGGAATTGAAAATAATCTTGTTGATATAGAGCCGACAAGATTATTGCATCAATTTGACAATTATATTGTTGCTGCTTGGAATAATGTTGATTCAATCAATGAACCTTGTTGATTTGACAATGTTCTTGTTGATATAGAGCCGACAATATTGTTTTATCAATTTGAAAATACTATTGTTATTCAATCATCACATATTGTTAATCATAACAATTTTAATGTACTACCAACAATATATTATATTGTTAATTTTTATGTATATATTGTAGGCTCAATAATTATGCTATTGTACATCACAAAATTTGCAATGTTATCTTGATAATTTTAACATTATTACCATAACAATAGTCAAAAATATATTGGTACATAATTTATATTTTACTGTTGAGTATAGGTAAAATAAATACAATTACAAATTGAAATCAAACAAATTACAAAATACACTTAATAAGCATTACTTATAATAAAATATAAATATTAATTTTATTGAAATATAATGATAAATAATAATATTAATAATACATTAATAATAATTATAATTATAATATTAAAAAAAAAAAAATTTATACTTCTTTTATATGAAAACAAGTTGGTACTTATATTTAAATGAAACAATATTTAACCTAATATTTTACAAGGTTTATTAGTTTTTTTCGAATATAATTATACTAAATATTAGGCAATAACATTGAAATATGATAATTAATTAATAATAATAATAATAATACAAAAAAATGTATACTTACAATATGAAAACAAGTTATATTTAAATGAGACAATATTTAACCTAATATTCGACAAGATTTATTAGTTTTTTCGAATATAAGTAGGTATACTAAATATTAGGCAATATCATTGAAATATGATAATTAATTAATAAAAAAAAAAACAAACAAATAAATGTATCTAATATATACCTAGTAATATCTATACTGATTATATATATACTTCATAGGCGTGCGCAGCCTCCGGTTTCAGGGGCAGCAAGAGATTAATTCGGCCCATTTTTCAAATTCACCATTAAAACCAGCCCATAGTTTTACTTTTTTACTATTGGATATCAAAATTATATCAAAATCTATATATATATATATATGTACGTTCCCACCTATATGCTCATTGTAGCATGAGTCTGTATGGAAAATGACTAATAACATGAAGATTTATAAATGTTTTATTGATAAAGATGTTACTATAATACTACAGATGCACATAGGCGCAACTAGGGGGGTGCTTGGGGGTGCTTCAGCACCCCCAAACTTTAATTTAGCACCCCCAGTTCCAAAACAGCAAAAATTGAAAAATCATATGAAAAAAATAGTTTTTTTTAGCTTAACTTAATGTTTTTTTTTTATTTCTTCGTTTTTAGCAGAAACACAAATTATTGTTTGTAATGATTATTGATTATAGGTACCTATATCAAATATTAGAATTTAGAATTCTTCAAATTTTTTTGTAAATTTTCTGTTAGAAATTTATAAAAGTTTTTCCTTTCATAGCTAACATTATAAATGTTGATAGAAGACTCCTCACAATTGGTACTATCTTAAATAAAAAAAAAAAAAAGTTTACTGGAAAGAAACATACTTTTTTTATGAGCGTTTGAATCTAAAATGTGTACAACATTGAACTTTCAATTTTTATCAGTAAATTAACAAAATTTCATCTACCAATTTTCGATATTATATTGTCCTAGTGGCTAGTATAGATACTTGAAATTTTTATCAAATGTAAAATTAAAATTTTCCTTACATGGTAAAATGTTTAAACAATTTTGACTCTTTTTGAGGTATTTATAACTGAGAAATTTTTCAAATATTTTTAATTATTTTTCATTGGCAATTCATAAAATATTTTCTTTTCACAGTTAAGGCCCAAGATTAAAAATGTTAATAAAAGATTTCACATAAGTTTGTCTACCTATAAAAAACCGTATACTTAAATTTGAATTTTTTATGAGTGTTCGAACTTATAATTGTCACGATATTCGATATTCAGCGGTAAATCGAATTCTCATTAATCGATTTTTTTTGGATTTTGTTGTATTTCCAAAATGAATAACCGTAGACTCTTGAAATGTTCACCAAATATTTATATTAGCATTTTCCATACATCAAAAATTCTTTAAACACTTGAATTTTTATGAACTATTTATGAGAAAATTTTTCAAATTGAATTCAAATATAACACATCCACTACAACGACATTCTCAACAACTATTGTACAGAAAAGCGGTACCCACTTGACCACATTTTTTTTTATCCATTTATACATCCAGGTTACTATTTTTATCACCTAAATAATATAATATACCTATACCTCATGTATTCATCAGGTATATTACCGTTGATTTACTTAAATATAAGTGTCCTTATGTGTTCATGGTGCATTTAGGAATGGTTATAGGAATTATAAAATCAAAGTATGACGTATGTTATTTTGGGGTGTGGTTTGTGTTCTCTACATAATTTTAGCACCCCCAGTGTTTGGCCTCTAGTTGCGCCTATGCAGATGCAACGTTAATTATTGTGTAGGTACCTATTTCGAGATTTTTGTAATAAACCGTATAAAGTACCTATCTATTGAAATGAGAGACATTGTTAATAGTTCTTAATTTTCCGATATTATAACTTATACAATGATATATAGCGGAGGTGATATGCCTGTGTGTGTGCATACACACGGTAAAATACAAATATTATACAAGTGATATGACTGTTGTAAGTATGCGCTGATAAAATATATATATAATATGACGTGTCGGTCACTTGAGTGATATGTAATAGTTCCATGCGTTTTCACATAATATACGTTTTGCTCGAGTCGAATGGGGTTTCGTTGGTGGTGACGGCGACTGGAAACGCGTGTGTTTTTCCCATGCACATGCATGAGTTATAATATGTATGTATGTCGGTAGTGATATGTAAGATTTAATCTATTCTGTGGTTATATGGTGTAATATATACTATATACAACTCTATACTAAAAAGTAAATATTTTGGAAATAATAATTCCTTAATATATAATATAAGGCGAGTTTAGGTAAATATAATAATATAGACTAGTGGATATGGTTAAAATGAAAAGTAAGGATGCATAAGCATATTTGTGTTTAATTCAAATTTAATAAAATAAATGTTGTATTATTTCTAACATGAAATGTACTGTATCAACGGTGAAGTCAAAATATTTTTGCATTTAGTGATCAAACTATCTCGAAGACGACGTCTGAGACTCTAAGAGTCGATATCCTCTATTCTCCTTAGTCTGTATATACCTACTAGACACTAGTTATATAAATATATAATGTTGTGTATGTTGTCGAGTAATCCTCTGAGCCGAATAAAATATAGGTAGATCTACCTATTTTAATTGAGATATTTTTATAGTAGTAGTAGTAGTAGTAGTAGGTATAACCAATTGATGAGCGATATGTT